AAAATTTTTTTTTTTTTTTTTTTTTTTTTTTTTTTTTTTTTTAATGATTCGATGTATTAATAATTAAAGCTCTGTTGCCATGAAAAGTATGAGAAAGTGAATAATGATTTGTGGTGATTGTGACTTATCATGGGTTCTTTTTGAAAGAAAAAATGTTGAAATTCCCACCCATCATGTTAAAATTATACTAAAAAATATATTTCAATTTCGTTTTTATTTTGCTAAAATAAAAACATTATATAAAAACCGTTAAAACGGCACTTTTAGGTTTTTGGGGCGCATTGGATTCTTACCAACATTGCTTAATAAATGTAACAAAAAGTTGAATTATGTTAATTCGCTTAACGCTAGTTTAATTCTTGACATGATTGTTAGTGAAGACTATCACAAAAAGACTTAGAGCTTCAATTGCCTTTTTCATTTCACTGCGATCCGACTTAGATTTTCGATTGAAATGAGTGCTATTTTTTTATAATCTTTATCCGGGTTCCTATGCATATCTTTTCTTCCCTGCCTTCTCGGTTGAACAATTTCATTGCATGAACTCCCAGATCACATCTTTTTGTCTATCAACAACCATTTCTTCGTCTCCATTGGCAGTTGTGGTAGATGATGGCAAGACAGAGACAAAAGTGCTGCGAGCAAGTTAGCACCGAGTGCACCTTTTCCATTTTCTGTAGATTCTTTTATTATTTGTTCTGATAAACCACTAGAGTCTTATTTTTTCGAGTCAAAATGAGGATTCAATTCTATTTTAACCTCTATAGTGCCACAACTCACCACTCACTCACGCCTCGACTGCATAGCTAACGATGGTTTCAAATCAAAATAGTGTAAAAAATGCTTTTCAAGAAGGCCGAGAGTATAATAATATAAAAATTTATTGCACATGCTTTTTCAAAAAAGATATTATTAATCGCATTTAATTATGAATGATTAGTAAATAATATTGTTAACGTAACTCACACACAAACATTACTCCTATAATATTTTCTTTTTCTTCTTTGAAAATTACAAATAATTATATTTTTCAGGATTATACATTCCGAAATTAAGCAAAAGATCAATAATTTAAATTCACTTTTTACTTTTTAGTGTTTAGTACCATAGAAACTAAACTAAAACAATTTACATGTTCAATATCCATTGTTCTAACCTAACTTTCTCAACAATTCTTACCATTCTCAGCAAGAAAGGAAGAACTAAAAAACGAAGCTTTAAGACGTCGTCGAACTTACAGCTCCAAATTTCGGTACAAAAAATTCAGCATAGGATCTGTCAATGTATATCAAATATCATAACTTACATTATCTGCACATGTCAGGAAGGTCAAGCTTTGACACAAAACTGTCTGCTTTTGCTATCATTCTGCAACTGATTTAGGCATGGAGGTGTTTATATATGATGGCTGTACTGTTTACAAGACTGGTTAGATCAAAGACTGTTTTTCTTTTCTACTTCTAATGACACAAACAAAGGAACTAAGCTGATCTATGGTCTTTCCTAACGCCCAAAACGACGGTATGCTGACGACGACTCGTACCTCTAATACTGCTAAATTCTTAATCCCAGAGGTTCTGCTTTGTTTCCGGGGCGTTAATCCCGGCCTGCATTCAGCTTCGACTTTAAGCTAATCCTTAGTCTATTGTTTTCTATCAGGTCTATAAGCTTTTTATCATTTCCTTTCGAACCATTGATGCTCCCAGAATCGTCCATTGATTCATCGGTAATAACAGGTTTCTTGAGCATGGAAGTATCGGCAGCTTTCTCGGTCGACTTTGCTGATTCAACTTGAGGTTTTTTCCTGGGTCTACCCCTATAATTCCATGAAAATTTGATAGAACTTGGAGGCCAAATAAGAGTGTGAAATGAAACAAGTAAACAAATGACAAGCAAGCAAGTAGCAACCTTTTGGCCGGAAAACTGGTCTTTTCGTTCTTGTTCGATTCCGACTTGATTTTCCCTTTCCTCTTTCGAGGTCTACGCTAAATCAAAACAAAACTCAATCACAACAATATAGAAACCGAACGACTAGTTAACTTTCAGGTCACTTTGATTCCAGATGCTAAAACGAACAAATTTCTATAGCGAATTATGATTATGTAAGAACGAAGCTTACATATCCAACGAAGCTTCGGATTTCGGGACACCCGTCTCCTCATCCTGCATCAGGATAACATTGAAAAGTAGGAGAAATCAAATTTAAATGGCAATACAAAACTCATGGAAATATGCTAAAATAGTTAAAAGTGAGACACCTACTCCAATTAGCTCATATTTTTGCTTTTTGAGGTTTAATAGTTCTTCGTCACCGTCATCATACGACACCTATGAAAAATAAAAAAGATTCAGAAACTAAAGAAAAATGAAACAATCGAAGACAAGAAAGGCAAACCCGAAACCCGAAACCCGAAACCCGAAACCAAAGGTGTGGTTATATGTGAAGTGAAGCTGTTCATAATATGAACTGGTTATAAAATGGTTGAGGGAAGGATAGGATTATCTTGCCTTGTGCTTTCTCTTAACAGGGTCAAAACTTTGAATAATGCCTTCGTAAAACCTGCAAAACAAAGAAATAAGGAGTTTTACGTTCGTAAATGTCGGGTTTTAGCAGACGTTGTGCAAGGTATCGCCCTTGCTAATTCTCCACCCCAATTAGTTTCATCCTCCCCCAATATGACATCCCGACTATTTACGTGTCTCTTATCGGCTGAATGCCGAAATATATACCCTATGACACGTTCAGGGTAGCCAAGAAGCAAACACCTGATAGCCCGAGGGGCCTTGAGGTTACAACTTTCCTTGGTCCCTGTGGTTAGAGATATATATGGTAGATATTTCGTAAGGATCTGGTAGAGATATATATGGGAGATATTTTGCAACATGTCACGGTTTCACTATTTTAGACCGTGCACCCTCGTGACTCTACTCTCAACAAGAGAAAGCACTAAAAAGTACACCATAACATTCTCCCATAAACATGGAGAACAATAAGGGTGTCCACAGCATTTCATTTCGAAGTTGGTATTAAAAGCTCGACGATTTGGTTACTTTAACGGAGCAAGTCATAAACAACTTCGTCGGGAAAAAATAAATAAAGGGTTACTCACTTCCGGTCCAGGGGCCACCAAACCTTTATTCTCCGACCAACCAGTTCCTCTCCAGCACTTAATACGTCTATTACCTGAAACGAACGTCGATAATACGAGTTAGCAGACATCACGAGAATAAATTTGAAAAAAATATCTTAATTTCGAATCATCGAAGTATGAGGTGCTTTCAATTTACAAGACAAAGGGAAACTATGAAATTCTTACCTCATTTTCCACGATGGCGTGCTTCCTTGTAGCTTTTTCCTGGGAAGAAACCGTTTCTTCCGAGTAATCATCGCCATTTAACTTGGCAGATCTCGAATCCTTCACCTATTAAATGGATAAGAACATGTCGAGATGCCATAAAAAGGTGCACCAGAAGAATAAAGACGACAAATAGCGAAGAAATTTTCGTGGTACCTCACAGGTTGATGATTTATGAACATTTCTATCCATATTAGTATCCGGAGATTTCACGATAACACCCTTTCGGTCTGCTGCTGATTCATCCCCATCGGTGCTCTTCGCTCTCAACTTCATAACCAAATGCACCGATCGTTTTTCCTTGTAATCGGAAGTATCTTCTGAAACAACACATCCAGGATCGAGGGTTGTTTTATCCTTCTCGGATTCAACGACTTTAGATTTCCTTGACCTTGCTGGAGCCTTTTCTTCCATCATTTTCATGGTCTCGTTTACCACTTCGTCTTCAGATCGTATACATTTCTCTTCAGCATGTGCGGAAGACTCCTTTTCTACCTCTGTTGACAAAGAAGCCGTTTCGAGTCTTGGGCTTACAGAAGAAAATTTAGGTACTTTTTTCTTCCTCGACTTACCAACTTTAGATTTCCTCGAACTCGCCTGAGCTTTTTTTTCTGTCTTTTTCATGTTCTCGTTCACCACTTCGTCTTCCGATTGTATATGTTTCTCTTCAGCATGTGCAGAGGACTCCCCTTCTACCTTCGTCGACAAAGAAGCCTTTTCACCTCGGCTTACGGAAGAAAATTTAGTTCCTTTATCCTTCCGAGCCTTACCAACTTTAGATTTCCTCGAACTCGCCTGAGCTTTTTCTTCCTTTTTCATGTTCTCATTTACCGCTTCGTTTTCAGATCGTGTACGTTTCTCTTCAGCATGTGAAGACTCTTTTTCTACCTCTGTTGGCAAAGAAACCTTTCTTACTTTTCGTCGTACAGGAGAAAAATTAGTTTCTTCGACATTAGACTTTCTGCGATTGGATAGCCTGAACTTTTCCCGTCCTTTTCCAATCCAATAATGATCATAGCCTTCATCTGGATTCATTAAGGAGTTCGGTTTCCTGCCTCGTTTCTTTGGTACAGAGTCTAAACTGTCAGGTTCTTCAGTTTCTGTCGTTTTTGATTGCTTACTCTGTTTTTGTGATTTTCTCGAGGACGCCTTGATTGTGTTGTCATTCTTGGCTGCATCTATACCATTGGATATCAATGATTCTGAAGCAGCATCGGTTTGAGGATTCTCTTCAATACTTGCATTTGGTGTATGCCTCTCCGTCACCTATTTGGCACGATTATATATTAGTTTACGATATTGCACTCCAGAAGCCGTTAATGTGGATTTTTTTAGGGTGCGGGATTCAGAAGAAATTGGATAACATATAGATAAAAATACATACCAGTGTCGGCTCGTTTGAATTCATCGTCTTCTCTTCGCTCTTTCCATTTTCCTGAATCATTCAATAAAATGTCATAAAAGCAGTTTCATAAAGGATCATCTCATCAAGACTTGACATGAAGTTTAGTTAGTTTCAAAGATAATACGAAGACTAAAGAGGAATGAGGTTCGGCTCTATACATATATTTAGGTTAAGACATCGGGTTGCTTATGTGGCTCTTCTAACAAATTAACCGAGGCATTTATTCTTGGAACTTGATGCCCATGAGCACAAGACTGTGTCGAGTAACTATATATTCTTAAGCAAATGTTGTAATGGCCCAAGCCCACCGCTAGGAGATATTGTCCTCTTCGGGCTTTCCCTTTCGAGCTTCCCCACGAGGTTTTTAAAATGTGTCTACTAAGGAGAGGTTTCCACACCCTTATAAAGAATGTTTTGTTCTCCTCCCCAACCGATATGGGATCTCACAATCCACCCTCCTTCGAGGCCCAATGTCCTCGCTGGCACTCGTTCCTTTCTCCAATCGATGTGTGACCCCCCAATCCACCCCCCTTCAAGGCCTAGCGTCCTTGCTGGCACACCACCTCGTGTCCACCCTCATTCGATCGCCCAGTGTTTGGCTTTGATACCATTTGTAACAGCCCAAACCCACCGCTAGCCGATATTGTTCTCTTTAAGGCTTTCCCACAAGGTTTTTAAAACGCATCTACTCAGGAGAGATTTCCACACCCTTATAAAGAATGCTTTGTTCTCCTCTCCAACCGATGTGAGAACTCACACATATTAACCTTATGAGGCAATTCATCTATATATAACCATTCTCAACCGTACCAATTCAAACATCTTTCAGTATTAGTCGGTAGAACTCACCAAATGATTCCCAGCATCAATGTTAACCGTTCCATTTTGGCATATAGAAACAACTATAGGAGCGTAGTCATCCAATGAAGCACCGAGAGACTGAATCGCACCCATAAGATAAGGCTGGAGCTTAGTAGCACAGTTAGACATAACCTTTTCTCCCAATTTCCACGAAATAGAACCTGCTTCCTATAATAACGAGCGAACCAATTAATCGAGGATAATATAAAAGAAATAAAGTTAGGAATAAGAAACACGGGAGATACCTGATTTTCCTTTCGGACACTAACTAAAATAGGCCTGAGAAGATCCGATGAGATTTCTTCACTCTCATCTAACACATTAGTCATAATTGCTTCCATGGCTGAAAAAACAGCAGGTGGATGGTTGGACCTTAGAATTTGGAGAAAATAAATCAAGATTAGACGAACAAAATAAAGTTTAGAATATCAGAAACATAACATCAAGATCGGAGAAACCTCTCCAAATCGAAGTTAAAATAGCACGAAAAGAAAATTTTATGAACTACCTAATGATCTTTAGAAAACTCTGGATCATCTCGAGAATCAAACTGTCACACTCCAGATCCAGCATCACTAAGCACGAACGGACCTTTGCAACAGCGTCAAGAATGGATAAAGCCTTTGTATAACAACGACCCGACATATGTGACAACTTTCTAAAAGCTTCTAAAGTCAACTGAAAAGTAACCTGCACCAGTGGAAATCGAAGAAATAACTAAAAAATCCACCAGAACATGCTTGTCGAGAATGAGCAGCTTCAAAGTTACCTTCATTTTCTCATCATCGTAAGGGGCATCTGGCGCTGTAATTCTTGTTATTTCGGTAATGCAGGATGTTACGGTAACCTTGACATCCTCGTCTGAGTGCTTCATAAGCTTATCGGAAACTAACGCTTTCATCAAGGGCAGGAGTGCATCACGCATAGATTTCGTTGGCGATTGCTCCACATTTGTTAATAGACACTCAGCTTTCTGAACAAAATTGGGACAGAAGTTACATAATCAGACTAACTACCCCGAGGGGGAACGGAACACATATCCCAAACGAAATCAACTCCTAGAGAAAAACTTTTGCAATAAACTCTAATTAAACGCTTCCCCTAACACCAATTTCAGGTTTAGAACATGTTTTTAGTTGGCTGGATCCCAAAAATCATAATAAACTTACCCTTCATGTAAAAAGTAGCAAATAATTTGGTGGCAGGCAGATGAACAATGAGCAGTGTTCTATCACGAAGGCCTGATGGGGCAATTACCTTGCAAGAATTTCCCCTATTACTCTACGAGTCCTACTGAAGTATTGACTCAATATTTTCTTGGTAAGCTAATGTAAATTGCAGAAAACCTTAAAATCTTCGAAAAGCGTTAGGGAAAGAGGCGTAATCTTTGGTACCCCCAATTCATATCGAGGCATGAAGAGATAAGAACAGGTGGTTTCTCAAGTGAAACCCATAAAAACCCATTTGAAATTCATGTAAATTAACGAAAACCCAGAAAAATTATGCATAACAAGAGGCGAAACGAGCAGTGTAAAAGAGAAGAGAGTAGAATCGCATCCTTACATCGAGAGCTTTGAGAAGCGCATCAGTGGAAGAAGGAGGGTTTAGGAGCTCAGTCCCGACCTCCTTAAGCTGCTCCTCGAGCTCTTTCTCAGACGAGCTCATATCCAAAATTTCAATTCAGTCGTCGAAATGAGTCATAGAAACCACAGCTACGTCTTGTTCAAAGGTGTTTGGAGCATGCAAATAGGGAGTTGAAGAATAATGGGTAGTTTCGGATTTGTCGCTTGGAATCAATTTTGGTTCATTCCTTGGGCTTCAAATCCGATAAAGTTCAATTCTTTTTCCCTCGTTTCTTGTTCGTTCTCTTTTTCCCTTGGCGCCTTTTGGCTTCGTTTTTGGCGCTGATTACTTAGCACTGGTTCAATGCGAGTGTGACCACATTCAACTTATGAACTGGGTTATTAAGAATTTAATTTTTTTTTAATAATTATTTCAACACTCAAAATGTTCATTTATTGTCTTCTTGAGAATCGAATACTAAAATTGCTTTTGAATTTGAAGCTTGTTCTTTACCAAAATTGCTCTCAATCCAAATTCATGTGTTCCCATTTAACCAAAATGGGTTTGTTTGTTGTATTGTCCTTGAAAACTTCATGCCTATAATATGCATTGGCTTCATTCATATACTTAATATGATAATATTGCTTAGTACAAATTGGCGTTATTGTTTATCTTAAACTTAACTTATTGTGTTTTTGCAAGTTAATCTTTGTTCTATGTCAGAACATAATTAATTACCAACCATTTTTTTACCTGGAAAAAACAGTACACCAAAATTATGGATAATAATTACAGTCACATTATTCACATATGCATTTATATTCTGACAATCACCTTTAATATCGACCTGACATAAGTTTCGAGATCATGGAGAGTTTCGTTTGAAATATACAAACCCCAAGTTCATCTTTTGACTATCAACAACATTCCATGCTGTAAATTAATCTAAGAATGACTTCAAACAGCAAATAACAGATTATTTTCTTTCAGCAAGCTTCAAACGAGGATAATTGTCATTTTAAAACTCTAATTTAAGTATGAATTCAGCATAAAAAGATGATAAATATCAATTCCAGATTTTCCTTGGCAAGGATCCTCTTGATGAACAAATTGTTCTGTTTGCCGGAATGATTATGAGCTCCACATCAATGAACTCGGAGGATAAAAACCAGTCTTTCCAATTGATAAACAAAGAAGAAGACATTATAGGGTGTTGTTAAGAAACAAAACAGTGCGCCAAATCTAAACATAACTACCGATCAAAAACTTTCTAAGTGAGACCAACAACTGTTGTCTCGGCAGACCATTTTGATAATCAATTTGAACTCACATGCTTCTGAACAATGTGAAGTGCCTCGTGATCCTCACCAAAGTCCTGGTAATAACACATTCAAATTCCAAGTAAACAATAGTGTTTTATAAGATAACGAGCAGAATATTTGCTCGAGAAGTGAATGAGCACACAGATGTACCTTAACTACCACACAAGAGCAACCGACAACTTTCCTTGCCTTTCCTTCAGAATCAATCTTGCATAGCTTCATAAGACAAAATATGAAAAAGAAAATTACTTAGGCTGAACTCATATGGGAAAGAATGCAAAACCAAAGTTATCAAGGTGGTGTTAGCAGGTCACTTTAGGTAAACGTGAAGCATAAAGATATTATGGGTAAATCCTAATATACTCTAGAACATGTAAACATGAAGCTAAATATCAATAGGTAACAGGTTCAATCTTGCAATGTTGGTGGAATTAGTATAGCATAGTTCATAATCGTGCAAGCGATAATGAAAACACGGAGAAGGTAAACTATTATATCTAGATGGAAAGTTAAGAAATATGTCTAAACAAGATTAAACAACACTTACACCAGCCCACTCGCCAAGGGTCTTTGCGCTAGGAACTGTCATCAAGTTGACGTTGTGCTCGGCACAAAGTGCTTTGACTAGTTTGATATAATCTGGCTGATTGCAGTCTTCCCCCAAGACACAGAGCTGAGCAGCATGCTTCTCAATAGCTTTAGCACTCTCGTGTAGGCCGCGAACAAGCCCACCATGAGCCAATGACTTTCTAAGAACAAGCTGCAAAGCAGTCTCAATGTCCATCGGCTCACCTAGAGCTGGGGTGGGAGCCTCAACCACAACTGCACCTTCATCACTGCAAAAGAAAACAAGTTGAAAGGGTTTCAATATTCCTCTATGGCATGCTGCTAAAACAACTTAAGGCAATTAAAAACCCGTTGCAGCAAATATTCGTTAACAAATGAAGAAGCTTCAATAATAGTTCACTACTAGACAAGTGACATATGAGGAACCATTAACCTTCGCGAACTAATACTACAGAGCAACGTATAAATCACATACAGAAGTTCAAAGTTACATAATTCGTACGACCCAAGACCAAGACGTATTAATAAGCATCTCAAGTCATCAAGATTTACAGTTTAATCGCCTTCACCAATCGAGACTCCATGAATAAACGTCTTTCTAAATCATACCCTAGTATAGCAAGCGCTCAACTAGTTGATTGCAAGCAGCAGATTTCACTTCTTATGAATGAAAGCATTGTCTATATCCAAGACATTGAAAACGAAGCGACGAGATATAACACAAAAATAAATGGCAATTGACAGGGAAAATAGCAATTGCTACAAACAAGTTTCTACTCACGCTGACATTTTTCTTCTCAATTAGAAGTTAGTTCTCCTTCCTGTAGCAAAGAAACTGTAAAACAAAATAAACAGACAAACCAATTAAAATGAAACCAAGAACCAACAATCTGAAAAGAAATCAAATACTTGTAGGGTAATCCACTAATCTATTCGTTCTAATGGGGGAGGGGGCCTTTCGATTCTGATAGTCAAATATGGGCCGATCTGAGTAATTGTGGACAAAAGGGAAGAGATAACAATGGCCATGGGTGAGAAGAACAACAATCGCTCGCCAGAGAGAGAGAGAGGATTACCAGAGATTGAGAGATGACGACGGCGGCGGCGGCACAATGACTGAGAAGAGGAGGGAATTTGAAGAGAAAATTAGGGGTTTATGAAAGTCCTCTGGTGTCATATAAATGGGCTCGTTTATTGGGCTTCGTAGATATAGAAAGAAGCTGGGCCGTCAGTATTGGGTTCAATATTTTGATTTGTTTCTTCTTTGAGTTCTTTACAACCTAAAAATCGGCCCATAAATCCTAAATTCTAAATCTTTAAGCAGTAAATCTAATATTTTTCTAATAAAAATATAGAATACAAATCCTAAATTAAAATTTAATAGATTATAAATAAAAATATAGAAAAAAAGCATTTACCCTAAATATAAAAAAAAAAGTAGTACTAATTAAATAAATTGTAACTCCTAAATAAATAATTAAGAAGTTCAAGATTTAGTTTAACGAATAGATAAAAATAATAATAATAAATTTAGGGTCGAGGATCTATCAATCGGTTCCATCGATTCCTTTTTTATCGAGCTCTAAACATTGGTCATTCCATCGATTCCTTTTTGATCGAGCTCTAAACATTGGTCAGCCTAAACCTAATTCAATAGTTAGTTCGGTAATAATTTCAAAAAAACTTGCATTCTGCTGGTTGTGATATTTTAAAGCTCAATAAAAGTAATTTATTCTAAAATTTCGTACCATTTCATACCTTTTCCGTTTCCGTAATAATTTTAAAAAAGTAAGTTTTGTCATCTAAAAAGTCAAGTATACCCCCAAAGTTCTATAACCCATGAATCTTTGTGCAAAACCTGAGCCAGAAACCACCGGAATCAAGTCATTAGCAGATGAACTTCCATGGCTGCAACAAGTTTCAATGGATAGCCACCAAAATGCTTACAGGCGAGACAGAAAAGTGGCTAAAATACCTTGTAAGTTGGGTATAAATTCGAGCGTGTGTGCTCTTGCTCTGCAGGCTTCAGTAAATCACTTGGAATTCAAGCGCATTCAGTGATTCACAACCCTTCTACGCATGCACTAATTATTGGTTCATTTTATTAGATGAACACGACTCTCCATAATGGTATATATTGTCCCTTCTGAGCCTAAGCTTTTATGACTTTATTTTAGACTTTCCTAAAATGCCTCGTACCAATGGAGATAGTATTATTTGATTATAAAATCATGAAAATTCTCTAAATTAGTCTATACCTTTGAGCTTGATGTCTGGGACATGCAGCCTCTTTACAAGCAAGTGGCAGCTGGCCAATGGCCACCGCTGGAGAATTATCTGTCGGGGGCCTCACCAGTACTGCCATCAGGCAGGGGAGCAGCAAGGTTTGATGGCGACATGGCGCTGTCACCAAATAGACTCGTGGATCCAAAGCATTATTGTAATGAACTGCATGAGCTAGACTGTTTAGGTTTCTCCCTGAGGCTGTAACTGTAAGAAGATAAACAGAAGTTTACCTTGCTGATTACTCTTGGACTTTTCGTCAAAATTTTAAAGCGCGTGTATAGAGAGAGGTTTCTACACTCTTATAAGGAATGTTTCGCTCTCCTCTCCAACCAATGTAGGATCTCACAGTGCACCCCCATTAGGGGTCCAATGTCCTCGCTACCACATTATTCGGTGTCTGGCTTGGATGCCATTTGTAACAACCCAAGTCCACCGCAGATATTGTCCCCTTTAGACTTTCCCCTTCTGGTAAAAAAATGTGCAAAAGTCTTGATAATAGTAATGGTCAATCATTCAAATCTTGTTTAATGTTCGACATTAATGGTCAATAATTCAAATCTTGTTTCATGTTCGACATTAATAGTCAATAATTCAAATCTTGTTTCACGTTCGACATAGAAGATAAAACTAATACGCATGGAGAAAAATACTGTGAAACAATGAAAAGGAAAGACCCAACAGATCATCTCTACTGAAATCAAGTAGGTTTAATGTGGCATAAGATTGTCGACAAGCCATTTTCTTGATTTCGTACCTTTTATACTTCACAGTCGATTAATCCACTAGGAAAGTTCAGACCTAGAAGATATAAGTCACATAATAATGTATTCTCGAAGAGTAGACAGGAACGGAAGCTGGAATCTTGTTATGAAGACAATCATCCTCTTTAATTTTGTATAAAATACTTCATATATTGGATAGTCTAATACAAAAGGGTCAATATTACATACCAGAAATAGATATCGGTAGCGCCAACAGCAAACAACTATTTCTCATCTGAAAATACTGCAGAATCAATTTCAATTAACTTCAATGAATGCTTTTACGGTTTCCATCCACCTA